AAGGAGACATATGACCTCTTCATATGTTATCCACAGTTGAAGTATTACTTTGAATTGAAAAGGCTTCTAGTTCAGTCACATGTTGGTCTATAAGATTGTTTTAAAGTTGGTTTAATCCAAGGTGTGATTCTGATATAAATAATAAGGTTTTTAAGATGGAGAGAATAAAAGATGTGCTAAGAATGGCCTTCTTTCCATTGGCACAACTCTACAACACCAGCCTGATCACGTGATTATTTCTGTCCCTTTCTTTATCTTCAGATAGATACTTACTCTTTCTGCATCATCAGGAATAGGACCAATGCTTTCTTTGAACTGATTTTTGATTTCTTTGTCTTTACTCTCTGCAGCTTAAAGAACAAGATCTGGGTGAATGAGTTTAGGTAAGTTGATCTCTTTCTCTGCTTTCAGTTCTCCCTGGCACCTCTAGCTCAGGAGAATGATTTTGATGCAGGTATCTTGGATCAAAGGAAGTTGCTGGTTTGAGGATTGTTTGGTGCTCACACACTCTTGGGTGCCACCACACTGTGGGCAGGACAAAGGCCCTGCAGAACTTGGGGAGAACACAGAGGTACAGACAGATTTAGACTAGACTTGCTTTGGAGTTTTTGCATAGAGCATCTCTGCTTGGTACCAGCTTCCATTTCAGAGGCCTCTGAAATATTTGGTGTACTGATTTCCTTGAGGAGATTCAGAAATCTCTTGTGGGTCACTTGGGATTTAAACTAAGTACAATGTTGTGATGGGAATATCTATCTTAGTTATGCTTCCCCCCCAAATCAAGTTCCCAAGGGTTCCTAGGGACTCAAGGACTGTCTTTTAGGCCTTTAACGTGGGACCAGGAAAGTCTTGGAGGAATTAAGAGGCATCCAAACCATCTATTTTCACTGTCTTTCAGTAGAACTGTCCTTCTGGGTTTTGAGGGAACAGGTGGGACTAGGAAGGAAGAATCTTTGAAGGGAATCCATATATCACGGAAAAATGAGATAACTGATGTGATTGCCTCAGGGACCCCAAAGGGTCCCTGTTATTGGTTCTTCCTAAGGGCCAGGACCCCTGGAACTCTGGGCAGAGCAGACACAGGCCCCTATCTCTATAGTGGCCCTAGTGCTAGAAAGGGCTGAGCCCTGTCTATTAGCCTTACCTAGGCCATGCTGGACAGTGTTCCTCACCACTCACCCTGACTCCCCTCTGCTCGCCTCCACAGCCAAGTTCAGGCCTGAGCCACCATGGTGGAAGGAGCATCTGTGAGAAGAATGGCCATTCTTTCCTCAATGTCACAGATGTCTAGCTCTGTGTAATCAGGCCAGGTCCTCCCCGCCAGGCAGGAACCATGAGGGTTAAGAGATTGCCAGAATCCATTAGAGGAGGCCGAGGTGTAACTTAACTGAGTAAAATTTTAGTCCAACTTTGTATAGGAAACTTGTCTCAGTGAAGCTTGTAGGCCCTCATGTGGCATCTGCTGCTGAGTGATATTGTGCACCACACTGTCTAGGTTTTAATGTCAGGCTGTTCTTTTAGGTATGGCGGATTTTCCCTGGGTGTCAGCAATTCTCAAGCACTTCCTCCGAGTCGAGAAGTTAATAATGCCATCAAGCTAGTGAAGAAGCACTTGAAGCTGGCCAAGGTACAGTATCCATCCTGAGACATGTCAAAATGGGCCCAGTGCTGCTGGGACATGGTGTAGTTGGCAGGTAAATCTGATCACCTAGCAGCTTATTGTGTTGAACATGTTTGAATACAAAGCCCTCAACTTCAAGTAGTGACATGTCAAAATGGGCCCAGTGCTGCTGGGACATGGTGTAGTTGGCAGGTAAATCTGATCACCAAGCAGCTTATTGTGTTGAACATGTTTGAATACAAAGCCCTCAACTTCAAGTAGTGATCCGAGCCAGACACAACTGAACCACTGAACTGAATATACTACTCAGTGTATATTTAAAAGCCTGAATGTGTAGATCAAAAACAAATTCAGAGATTTAAAAGCTCTCAGAATAACTAAGTTTGTAAATTTGGCCAGTGCATAAATAAAATGGGCTTCAAACATACTTTTCTAAAACAATCACTGGCTAAACAGGAAATGAATCATTTTCATTTTTAAGCTGGAAGGCTGGTCTTCGGGACCTGATAAGCACTCACTGCATTTCTCTATATCTCAAGTTTCCCATTTTTAATTGAGAATCGAGGCCATCAGATGACATGGACTCTAGGATCCTGGATAGCAGTGATAGTGCTACAGTCTGTAGTTCTGCTTTTGAAGCACAGGCCCACGTGTTTGACACATCTGCACAGAGTCTGGTTGTGGCTTTTGGGATGACGCCAGGGGAACACTCTAAAGAATCCTCATTACCCAGTTATAGCCAGACATTAGAGCTTTGGGACTTTGAGTCATGGGATTTCTCCGTGATTCTTTCAAGATGTGTGGCATCATAGCAAAACATTAGTGCTGTGAATTTTGGGTCACTTGGTTCACAGGAGCCATTCATTTAATGGCTGCAAATTTAATTTCAGTAAAGGAGGTAGTAGTGTTATTGCTTTTGGGAAGACAGGGTTGTCCCGTTGTCCACAGATTCCAGACTTACTGTTGCCCCTTACCTGTGAGAACAAGCCACACCTGAGGCAGGTTTCTGTTGTTTATAGGATGGTTCTGCAGATCGATTTCTCAACAGCTTGGGAAGATTTATGACAGGACTGGACACCAAAAATAACGTCAAGGTAAATCACTGTTTATGCTCTAGTAGCTTCTCGGTGAGCAATAACCCTTATGTACCCTGAATTACTTCTAGCTCATGGTAAAGTAGATAGGGGTATTCATGACAGAAAAGAGCAAACTTAACATTATCAGTGAGGAAGTATAGTATCGTGATTAAGAAAATTTGATCTGTCACCAGACATACCAGGTGAACCATAGTGATCGTGACTAAGTTACTTAACCCCCCCCAAACCTCAGTTTTCACTTCTGTAAAATGGGGACAGTAATTATAGCTATCTCCAAACTGTTGTGAGAATTAAATGAGTTGAAGATATAATGTCTTCAGCACAGTGCCTGGCCACATGGTTAATGGTCAGTATATCCTGTGTGCTATTGTTATTTTGCCATGTTCTCTGACTGTACTGTTTTGTCTTGGTATATGACTGTAATTTCTTTCTGACGTTTATGTGCATGCTGTATGTGCATACCTACTTTTCAGAGCTGGGTTTGGGGGCATTACCTTATGTACCTGGTATGTTTTATTTCAGGTGTGGTTCAATAACAAGGGCTGGCATGCCATCAGCTCTTTCCTGAACGTTATCAACAATGCCATTCTCCGGGCCAACCTGCAGAAGGGAGAAAATCCTAGCCACTATGGGATTACTGCTTTCAATCACCCCCTGAATCTCACCAAGCAGCAGCTCTCAGAGGTGGCTCTGTAAGTATAGCTGTGTCTGAATAGATGGGTGGCCGGGGAGAGAGGAAAAGAGAAGGTATTGGGGAGTCATGGAGTAGGGGAAGGAAACTTGAAGCTGGTTGTAGAGTAACAGTTGCAGAGACAGTTACATCATGGTATGTCTGGGTCGATCCAAGCTCTGAGCAGAAATGACCAGTTTATAAATTGGCTGGCAGGGCTTTTTGCCATGAAGAAGAGAAATGACACAGATATGTAAAAAATCACTACATTTAGTGAATTCATATAAAGCGACTTAAAAAATTGTCAATAAAATCCTAAAATAATTTATCTCAGCATTAATACAAATGTTTAATAAAAAATTTATTTCATTTGTTTTAAAATCACTGCTTTAAACTTGGTGAAATATGCTTTTATTAGCTTTTGTCTTTAAATTCTTGAATTAAGCTGTGTGTGTGTGTGTGTGTGTGTGTGTGTGTGTGTGAAGTTTAAAGCCAGTATGATACAGCCTTTGGAATCATAGAGATCTGGGTTTGAAGCTGGTCTCTAAACTTTGTAGATGTGTGGTGTTAAATGAGGCAATTCATGTAAATTGCCAAGCACAGAGTCACTATTCAAAACATGTTAGATCCCTTTCCTGTATATAAGAGAACATGGCACAGTTATTGTTTCTGCTTGGCTCTGATAGAATATCATTATAGGACACTAGAATCTTTATACTGAGATCCTGTGTAATGGGCTTATAAGACTGTTCTTCATATAATAAGAGTCTGATAAAATTTTTGTTAGATTGATAGGCTACATGTTGTTTCTTTCAAATTTATTTACAGCCAGAAAAAATTAACTTATTCAGTAATTGCACACTAATATTTCTGCTCTTATTCAGTTTTCAAGCCACACCAGTCCTCTGTGTGTGAAAATTTGCAACTTATTGCTCTTACAAGGTCAAGAACAATGGACCAAAGTGAACAGCATTAGGCCACTCTCAGACTTCCTTCATTAGTTTTATTAGAGCAGTGGACTCTTTTTGACCTCAGTAAAATCAGTTTTGCAGTTTTGCATTTGGATTGTCAGGTTTTTTTTTTTTAACTTGTAAGCAATCATCTTTAACAGTAGATAAAATGCATTTGGTGAACAGATGTTTTTCCCTGGGCTGTGCCTTGGATATTTGTGTTTGTGTGTGTGTATGTGTGTGTGTCCTCGTCGATTGAGTCCTCAACTGCATCAAAGAGTCCTCTGATCCTCACTGCCTTTTTCTTTGCAGGATGACCACATCAGTGGACGTCCTCGTGTCCATCTGTGTTATCTTCGCGATGTCTTTCGTCCCAGCCAGCTTCGTGGTGTTCCTGATCCAGGAGCGGGTCAGCAAAGCGAAGCACCTACAGTTCATCAGTGGAGTGAAGCCTGCCATCTACTGGCTCTCTAATTTTGTCTGGGATATGGTAAGGACACAGGCCTGCTGCCTCTTTATAAATCTCCATCAGGACCATGGATCCATATGGATAAGAAAGAACAAGGCCCTGGCTATCCCGGGAAGTGTTCTTGCTAGCTGATGTTGTATGAAAAAGGAAATAGGCAGAGGCAGTTGAGCACTTTCATGACACCAAACATGGCATTGGATACCAGAGCTGATGTCATGTCAAAGGGAAAATCTATCCACAATGACTAAAATTAATGCCACTACCACCTGATTTCCTAGGTGAAAACTTTTGTAAGAAACAGAGAGATGGAAAGACCTTAGTCAAAACTCCATGTCAATGCTTCAAACTTCTCTAATAGGTTAAAACTCCAGAGTCAGGATGTTCTTCACCTTACCAGGAAAGCCACCTGTCATTTGATAACTGTATATTTTACCAGCAGCTTATCTATACATTGCAAATATGTTTTTTTGTGCTGGGCATAATATATTGCTTCTGTTTAGACCACTATGGAGGACTTCAAAAAATTCTGAAGATCTAGTTACTGTAAAGTGGAGTTGAAATATATCTTCTTGTAACTTCCATTAATTATAAGCCACAGAGAGCAAATCTAATTCTTCTCCCGCTAGACAGTCCCTTGGATATTTAAAGACAATTTAACCTAAGTCTTCCCTAGATGAGCTGATATATGAGAAGATATACAGTGCTTTAGAGATTATAAAATAAATTTGAGCAATGATGGTGGAGATGATGAGGATGTCTGTGCTAAATATAGTAAGCCTCTCAGACTTGTCACTGTTCTGATCCAATTGTCCCTCTATGGCCATGTTCCATATTGTTAATGTTTCTTTTGAAAAGCAAAGCCCAGAATTATCCTTGTGTTTAGGCTGTGGTCTGAATGGTTATGAGTCTAGAGGGAGTTGATCTTTATCCCATACTTACATTACTGCAGCAAGGGTATTGCATTTTGGAAATGGCACTGTCTTATTGGCAAATTGTTGGTGAACTAAAACTTCTATTTCACACAAATGATTATTAAGTTGGGTCTCTCTCATTCTACACTGATGCAATTGACTTTTTTGAACCTAAACTTGTATTTATCCCTGTTAAACTATACCTTGTTTAGTGTCCATTTGTTTGTTTTTGTTTTATCTTGATTCAGTAATTACTTCATTAGGTAAACACATACTGAGTGCTCACTGTGTATCTGACTATGCCAGGCATAGGAGATTTAGAGATGAAAGATTGAGTCCTGGAACTCAGGGACATGGCTTATCTTCTTGTGTATTATCTGTCCCTCCTGCTTTAGAACCTCTGAAATTTGCTGTAAGCATGTTTTCTTCCAAGCTGTTGATAAACACATCAAATAGAATGGGAATGAGGCAGAGCCCTGCAGTCTGAAGCTGCAATTCTTCTAACAGCTGACAAATCCACTGTCACCTTCCTGCCTGTGCTTTGCTGTGCCAGCTATGAATTCTTATGATTGTCCTATGGTCAGGTCTTCATTTCTGCATTTTATTGCTTGATACACTGTCAGGACAGACTTTAAATTATTCTCAGTGTGAGGAAGCAATTCTGACATTCATGTTATGAACTCTTACCTCATAAATAGATTACATGTGAGATTGAACTTGGGCAGACTATAATATAGCATTAATGAGGAAACAGACACAATCACCTTCGGGAAGAATAATGGGAACTTATTTGCTGCCTGTGAAATTGAAATTACTCTGACTAGGAATCCATCGTTGAACAAGTTTACTGTGCGTGACACCTTGGTTTAGCTATTGGAAAGACAGAAAGGGCATGCAGTTTATAAAATCAGCCAAGTGTAAAGTGCTTGTCAGAATGTATTGTCCAGTATTTTGATTAATAGTTTATGTGACTTCATTAATTCAAAGTTATTCTCCAATATGTTTATCTGCCCTTTCTTGTCCGATGATGGTGAAGACTTGGGATTTGTTATATATTTGACTTAAAGGTGAACTTTATTTCCTTATTTTCACTTTTAGTGCAATTACGTGGTCCCTGCCACTCTGGTCATTATCATCTTCATCTGCTTCCAGCAGAAGTCGTATGTGTCTTCCACCAACCTGCCTGTGCTAGCCCTTCTACTTTTGCTGTATGGGTAAGGCACCTCTGGGTGGGGAGAATCTCACAATGGGTAAGGCATATGGTGCCCAATGTCAGGGAGGGCAGGGCCTCCAGTGGACATTTATCTCTGTGCCTCACCAGGTGGTCGATCACACCTCTCATGTACCCAGCCTCCTTCGTGTTCAAGATCCCCAGCACAGCCTACGTGGTGCTCACCAGCATAAACCTCTTCATCGGCATTAATGGCAGTGTGGCCACTTTTGTACTGGAGCTTTTCACCAATAATGTGAGTTCTGCAGAAAGAACACCACCTGCTGGGAGGAGCATGTCTGGGAGCCAGAGGACAGTGTTTAATTGTGGTCTTATTCTATCTATCTGTGATATTGATGCTGCTGACTGCTCAGTCCTTTTTTAGATTATCTTTCCTGGGTCCCCACAGCATTTTTCTCTCCTGCTGTGCTTTGTATTTCTCTGATCAAACCTTTCATTTCCTTTTGACAGGTTCTTTTCTTTTTTACTTTCTGTTTCTGTGTTGCTTTTTCCAAGACCTAGTCCTCTGCCATCTTTGCGTTCCACTTTAGACACCATTTCTTGGTGATGCCATTCCATCCCAAAGCTTTTATCACCACCTCTCTCAGAGTCTTTTACAGTTATCTGAGAGTCTTTTATTGTTATCTGCCTTTAGCCTTGGTTGTTCCTTTGAACTCTAGTCTTAAATTTTCACTTGCCTATTTGGATGGCTTCATTTAGATAATTTATAGATATCCCAAACTGGACATGTCTTAATCATCTTTCCCCTCAGAACCTAATATTTGTCTTGCCATTCCTGTCATACTCGGTGGCATTGCCATCCACTCAGCTGCTGAAACTGGCTCTGCCAGAGTCATGCTAGATGCTTTGCTGATGCTTTTTCCCCACATTCAGCTGGTCTTCAGTTCTTCTGGTTACAGATCTCTTAAACAAGGCTCCCTCTCCATGCCTCTTGTCACTGCCTTTGTCCAAACACCTTAGCTTAGCACATAGGCCTTCACAGGTGCACAACTCCTCCTGGCCAGTCCCACCACACCCCTTCCCAGTACCCTGTAAGCTTCAGCCAAGTTGCCCCTTAAACCCTCCACACTACTGTAGGACTGACTGGCTTGAAATGCCATTCTTCTATCACAGGGTCTGGTATTATCTCCCTTACCCTTCAAGACTTAGCTCATATGTGAAGCTTTCCTTACTTGCCCTATAGAAGGTGCTCTCCCCTTTCAATGTATCTCAGAGCCCTCAGTTCATGCCTGTAGTACAACACATATCCACTTATGTAGTAATTTCCTCTTTACTTGTTTCTCTTCCTCAGAGTGGAGACTGTTTCTTACTGACTCTTGCCTCTCCCACACCCTAGGACAGTGCATATAGCATATAGCTCCATGCTCACTTGCTGGACATTTGGCCATTGTTGCCTTGTGGGGTTGTAATAAGTACTTATGCATTCAAGAAGAATTTCTAAAATTCCAGCAAAATCCTAAAACTTAAATATTGATGCAGATATGAACAATTTGCTTTTGAAATGTTAAGCAAATATTTTGTTATGGATTTGCTTTTGATTAAACATAGCTATGTTTCTCAACTTTCTTATTTCTCCATGCTCATAGCATTATTCCAAATTTTCTAAAGAACACAGTGTTATTATGTTATATATTATCAGCTATGCCTGCTGCTATTTATTGGTATCTGAATTCAAAGGTTCGGTTTGTCCCTAGTGAATCAAATTTTTTCTTCACTCCCATATTTCAGACTTTGATAAATTTTTAGCCTAAACTATGAATGATATTGAATCTCTTTTTTTTTTTTTTAGAAACTGAATAACATCAATGATATCCTAAAGTCTGTGTTCTTGATCTTCCCACATTTTTGCCTGGGACGAGGGCTTATTGATATGGTGAAAAACCAGGCAATGGCTGATGCCCTGGAAAGGTTTGGTGAGTGAAGCAGTGGTTGCAGGAGGCTTTAGTGGAGATGACAGTGTGCATGAGCTTTGGTACCCCTTGTTTTGGAAGAATCTGGTGGCTGGGCACAGGATGTTCCCTCGCCCCACTGATAGGGCTCATGCCAGTGCAGCTGGTTGTGGCATGGGTCTTGTGACACACTCTTCGTCTGTGCCTCTGATAGCATTGAGATGTGAGAGGGCAATTTTGGAGGTGAGAAAGCTGGCATTTGATTAGAATGCCATTGTTTGGGTTCATCAGAATCATTGGAAAAGTCAAACTACAGCGTTAGGAATTAGATACAGGCCAGAGAATCAGAAGGAAAGATGCAAACTTTGACAAATCATGGTCCTGCAAATGTGGTCATATATTGCCTTTTACATAGTCTATAAAAGATAATTTACTGCAGCTCTTTCTACCTTTAGAGTAGTTAAAAATATTTCTCATGTGGCCATGTGACTGTCATTCATCCACTGGATATAGTTAGATGGGCCATGTTATTTAAGGAACACAGAAGAGGGAATTTTTTCAATTTGGAGGTACAAAGGAGATGTATAAGGAGGTACAAAGGAGATGTATAAGAAATTTAAGGAATATTTACATAAAACTGGGTGATTTAATTGAGTCACTGGGTTACATTATATGCTACTGAAAGGAGTATCTTTTTAAAGTGCAGCCTAATATTTCTTATTATTAAAACTTATTTATTAAATACTGACCCTAAAAATTACTCTGGATTGTTCACCTTTTCTAAAAGGATTTTTAGCATGTTTCATTAAAAGGGAAATATTAGATATCTTAGACAAAGTTACAGATCTAATACAAGTTGGATCTGAAATTCTTATTGATATGGGGTTATCCTGTTTCCCTAAATCAGACTTGAAAAGTGGTTGCTGTCTTATTTTTTTCTCCCTGTCTCATGGGTGACAGCTGTTGGTGTTTCTAGGAAAATAGATAAATTTGAGCCTAAATTTGAGGAAGGGCTGTGGTTCTTGATGCCCCCATTCTGACCTGATCTCTGCATTGTGTCCATCAGGGGAGAATCGCTTTGTATCACCACTCTCTTGGGACTTGGTGGGACGAAACCTCTTCGCCATGGCTGTGGAAGGGGTGGTGTTCTTCCTCATTACTGTTCTGATCCAGTACAGGTTCTTCATCAGGCCCAGGTGAGCTTTTCCTCAGATTTCTAGGGAACACCTGGTTGATGGTCACAGAGGAGGAGCATTCATCAATGGTGGGTGGATTGAATTGAACTCAAAATAGATAAACTGATTTTCCTAATGTGGGAAGCCCCCAACCCCAAACCCTGCCTATCCTGAAAACTGTGGTGAGCAGATTTTATAAGACTGCTTTAGAGACTGGATCTTTGTCTTGAAAAAAAGAAACAGTTTGAAAGGTTCACTTTTTTTTCCCCTCCCCTTCTAAGAACTGTAAATACAAAGCTTCCTCCTCTGAACGATGAGGATGAAGATGTGAGGCGGGAAAGACAGAGAATTCTTGATGGTGGAGGACAGAATGACATCTTGGAAATCAGGGAATTGACTAAGGTAAGACAGTGAGTACAAGCTATAACAGCTTTTCAATTTTTTTTTTTTAGCTCTATATGCTGGAAATCAGCATTTTTCTCACTTGCTTAATAAAAAAGAGCACGCTTCCCAAAATATGCATCAATATCAAGCTTCTGTCAATTTAATTTTATTTAAAATATTCCATGGAGACTTCTCAATTAAAGAAATCCTACTGAGAATACTTTTGTAATGTAAATTCCCGTTCTTAAATATATTTATTTTATACACCTACATTTATGGGTTAGTTATTAAAACATACTAAGGGCCGGCCCCACGGCTCACTTGGGAGAGTGCAGCGGTGGTAGCGCCCAGGCCGTGGGTTCGGATCCTATATAGGGATGGCCGGTGCACTCACTGGCTGAGTGTGGTGCAGACGACACCGAGCTGAGGGTTAACAATCCCCTTACTGGTCAGAAAAAAAAAAAAAAATTGTACATCTAGTCAAAGTGGAGGTAGGGAGAATAAATGGTTGAAACTGACTTTCAGAATCCAAACAGCTGATATATGTCCATTACTCAGGAGGAGGGTCTGTTTCAGCCCTTTCTAGATGCCAGAATCCCAAAATTTCACTTTTTTGTAATCTGCACAATATTTTGATTGCAAATGTACTCTGTAGAATTTGAAAAATATCTACAATATCTTTATGTTAAATAAAAGAAAAATTAAGTAGATATTGATGACTAGTATGTTTTTTAAAAGACTCAAACTCGTATTAGATTAAAAAATAAAAAGAAACTAACTTTTATTTTGAGCTTCAGAGTCAGTCAGAGGTCAGTTGCCACAGATAGTCCAAGGTTCTTAGTGCATCAAATATGTGGTTTAGTCTTATTGATGAGTAGTATTTTGTAGTGTGTTTGGGTTATAATCCCCTCTTCCACAGTTGCTTGGAAGAGCTGAGTGACTGGGGCTTATGAGTTTTTGCATTTTGTTTGTTGCAGATATATAGAAGGAAGAGGAAGCCTGCTGTTGACAGGATTTGTGTTGGCATTCCTCCAGGGGAGGTAAAGACACTTTGTCTACATTGTGTTTAGCCTTAGTAATTCAGACTATCTCTACCCAATCCAACGACAATGTTTGTACGGTGTGAAAGTGGCTTTTTAAGGCTTCTCTGCTTATGCCTGTGTGTAACAGTCAGTCACTGAGAGGATGGGGACCCTGTACGTTCAAAGAGGATGATTTTGGATAATCTCATGCAGTTTAAGAAAAGCACGCACATCCAAAATGTGCTTTTGCGATCCATTTGAAATTATGATGATGTTCAAATAGATTTTTAAAAAACAGATATTTTTCTTTTTCATTCCTGTTTGTGTTCTTTTATACCTGTTAGCAAGATTAGGTGGTGTAATTTGACTAGTTGGCTCTCATTGCTGTTTTTCACACATCAACCTTGGCCTCAACCTGACAACTTAAATAATATTTACAAATATGCCCACACTTAAAATGGTTCCATTATAAAATATATATTTAGAAATCTCTATGATGTCTTAAAACCAAGAAAATACTCATATTTGATTCTTCATTGATATTTAAGAATGATGTTTTAGGATCATGTTGTACAAAAACTAAGTTGAGGTGGCTATCTCTTAAAGGGTCATTCATACTCAGATTCTAGTAGTTTGCTTACCCCATCTTACTTTTTCAGTGCTTTGGACTTCTGGGAGTTAATGGGGCTGGTAAATCATCAACATTTAAGATGTTGACTGGAGATACCAGTGTTACCAGAGGAGACGCTTTCCTTAACAAAAATAGGTGAGCAAAAAAGTGGCCTGTATTTTGCCACAAAAACCTTTTTTTTAAGTTTATTTAAAGAAATTGTTATTTTTCTGATTATAACAGTAATATTTACAGTTCATAAAAATGTTGAAATACAGTGAAGTGTAAAGAAGAATATAAAAATCATCCAAAATTTCACTACCTGGAGATTACCACTATTTACGTTTTTTTTTTTTTTTTTTTAAAGTCTCATGCTATACTTTTAACAGCTTTATTCAGGTATAATTTATATACCATATAATTTACTTGTTTTAAGAGTATAATTCAATGATTTTTAGTAAATTCACAGCATTGTACAATCATTCCCACAATCCAGTTTTAGAACTTTTCCATCATCCCAAATCTATCTTATATACACATATAAATGTATCATAAAATTGAAATTATATGGTATATAGATTTTACCTAGATTTTTATATAGATTATATGGTATATAGATTAGTTTTTATTGTTAGTGAGTTTATTATGAATATTGCCTAATGGGTTATATATTCTTAGATGTAGAATTTTACATTATTACATAAAATGGCCCTAAGTACATATACCTATAATTTATTTAATCAATTCTTTATAAATGTTGTACATTTATTAGTTTCCATTTTTCACTATGTGAATATGTCCTTGTATACAGCTTTTATTATTTCTCTTATTCATCTAGTATTATTTTCATTATTTGAAAATCTCTACAAGGAAAAAGGGTATGTACCTTCCAAATTGTCCTCCTCTCTAAAGGGCGTAGCAATTAATGAAGCCATCATTAGGCCATTTTTCTGAGACTGAACAGGTCACTAAACAATCTGATCTTTGGGGGTACAAC